ATAGTACAGGTTGGAATCTGATATAATACAAAATTACATATTTATTTATATTAATAGATCAGAGTTTTGGAACAAACAAGGTGACTAATAATTGTTTCACAGTGACAAAGTTTGAGAACCATTAGGTTCGACCACTAAGGTATTTTCTAAGAGGCAAAAGCCTTTGTTAGATAAACTTAATTGGTAAATATTTTATTTTGGAATTAAGTTCATTATTATTATTTAAATTCAAGTTAGTTAATATATACATTCATTATTTTTAATAGTCATTTAGGAAGAAGGAAAATATTTGTCAACATGCTGAGAAAAAGAACAAAAAGGCACAGGAAACACAGAGGGTATGTGTGTGTTGGGGGTGGAGGGAAGGGTTCAGAGAAGCAGCCTGAAATAGGAAATATATCCCCTATTTGGTGGTTGTACCAAATAGAATCCCAGCATTTTCTTTTTTTTTAAGATTTTATTTATTTGAGAGAAAGAGAGACACCCAGAGAAGGAACACACAAGCAGGGTAAGCAGGAGAGGGAGAAGCAGGCTTCCCACAGAGCAGGGACCCTGATGCGAGGCTCCATCCCAGGACCATGACCTGAGCCGAAGGCCGACGATTAACGACTGAGCCATCCAGGTGCCCCTGGAATCCCAGCATCTTATAACTGGGTGGGACCTCAGAGGTCATAAGACCAATTTCCCTTCCAAGTTCAGAAATCTCCTCTCCAGTTTATTTCCAACTTCTGCTTGCGTGCTTTTAGTAATGAGGAGTTTACTATACATCACAGGGAAACTCCTTATGTTTTGAATTACTCTGATTTCTTAATGACCTGAGAATTGCTTCCTTCTACTTCTCTTTGCTACTTTTAGTTCTGCATTTTCAAGCCACATAAAATAAGCCTATTTTATTGGACTTTATTGAATCAATATGGCAGCCTTTCAACTATTTGGAGGCAAGTATGTGACAGAATTGTATTGTAACTTCTCTACTCCTCTATTCAATTGTTCTGTATGTGACAGGGTTCCCAGATTTTTTTTTTTTTTAAGATTTTATTTATTTATTTGACAGAGAGAGAGATAGCGAGAGCAGGAACACAAGCAGGGGGAGTGGGAGCGCGAGAAGCAGGCTTCCTGCCGAGCAGGGAGCCCGATGTGGGACTCGATTCCAGGACTCCGGGATCATGACCTGAGCCGAAGGCAGACGCTTAACGACTGAGCCACCCAGGCGCCCGGGTTCCCAGATTTTTATATGCCCAGGTCCCTCTGATCTAAGTAGGTTTTTGTTTGTCAAGGTCTCTCTTGAAATTTAACAACTGAAACCTGTTTGCCAGGTAACTGCTCTAAGCACTATATATGCATTGTCTCATTTAATTTGCAAAATTATCCCACGAGGGAGTCACTATTTTATAGATGGGGAAAGAAGTTAACTAACCAGAGGCAGAGAGTTTATAAGTAACTTGTCCAAGGTCTTAAAGCTAGCAAATGGAGGAGTCAGAATGCAAACAGAAGCAAATCCAGGAGGTCTCTTTTAACTTCTTTGGTTTCCCACCTGCCAGACTGTAAAGTAAAACAAATCCACCTCCTCATCCCCTTTTCTGGACATTCCACTTCTACCAATAAGATGTTAGGGGTTTTTTTTGGCAGCCACTTGTTGGCTTATCTTGGGCTTGTAATCAGTGGAAACACCTAGGTCTTTTTCACATGATCTGCTGCTAGAATAAGCCTTCCTAATTCTGTGGCCATGCAACTGGATGTTTGGAACTAATTCTGTACTGTATCTTCTCTGTTCAGTTTCAGTTGATTAGCTTCAGGGCATGCTTCCCACCAGTTGAGTCGTTTTGAATCCTGACTCAGCTCTGCATCAGCAACAGAATTGATATGTATACCTCCTGTCACTTCTCCTAGGTTGATGATAAAATTGCCAAACAGAATAGGGCCAAGGACCATTTCTGTCCCTGTGTGGGGAGAGGGACTTCTATTTGATAACAACCGTAGTCTCCCGAGACCACCCCAAAACCGTGATTCTGAAACTATTAAGCAAACCCTTTTTCTTTCCTTTCCTTTAACCCAGGGCTTCTCAACCTCTGCCCTATTGACATTTTGGACTGGAGAATGGTTTGTTGTGGGTGGGTGTCCTGTGCATTCTAAGATGTTTAGCAGCATCCCTGGCTTCTACTCCCTAGATGCTGGTAACAGTGCTCCTCTTCCCCTGCCAGACAACCAGAAACGTCTCCAGACATTTTCAGATGTCTCCTGGGGGAACAAAATGGCCTCTCCTTCCACTGAGAATCAGTATTCTAATTTCATAAATAGATTACTTGAGCAATCAATATTTAGTAAGGACCTATTATTTGTTCAAGACTTGGTAATTTCTTTTTTTTTTAAATTTTTTATTGTTATGTTAATCACCATACATTACATCATTAGTTTTAGATGAAGTGTTCCATGATTCATTGTTTGTGCATAACACCCAGTGCTCCATGCAGAACGTGCCCTCCTTAATACCAATCACCAGGCTAACCCATCCTCCCACCACCCTCCCCTCTAGAACCCTGTTTGTTTTTCAGAGTCCATCGTCTCTCATGGTTTGTCTCCCCCTCCGATTTCTCCCCCTTCATTCTTCCCCTCCTGCTATCTTCTTCTTTTTTTTCTTAACATATATTGCATTATTTGTTTCAGAGGTACAGATCTGAGATTCAACAAGACGGTAATTTCTATAAACACTAAAGAGGAAGAGGAAGACAAGGACCTTGATCACAAGAAGTTTATACTCTATCCCTGGAGGGAGAGGACTCAGATGGGTGATAATCAGTCTTTTCTCCTTCTAACCCAGAGCTTCTTACTATGATTTGAGTTGATGGGGAGGAAGGCTGCGTAGAGCTAGAGATCCAATTAGGCATTCTTGGGGGCTTGGCCTTCTGTCTTCTGAACAGCTAGCTAGTTTTCTTTCCTCTCTCTCTCTTGTTAAAATACAGTTAGGAAGAAAGAGGTATCAGTCATAGGAGCCTCTGGTCAGGTGTGAGATGGCAAATAGGGTTTTGCCCTAGAATTAATCAGTATCTGCTATTCGTGTACTGTAGCTCAGAAGTTGATTTATCTTCCGATCTTAAAATGCCAAGCCTGGTGGGATTTAATAAAAGTTTCTCTCCTGTCACCCGTACCATGAAACAAAAACGAATCCTCAACATACTTATAAGCATGTAATATGAATATCAGAGTCCCTAACAGTGACGCAAATGCTGCCTGCCGGTCACGCAGCTGCTCTTCCCGCAGTGCTCAGCTAAGACCCCCTTGGGCAGCATGCTCACCCTCTCTGCTGTCCACCCCAGGGAAACATGCCCCCCAGGAATCAGATACTGAGCCATAGTATAAAACGAGAGTTTTATTTCAAAATGCAAAATGGTGGTCATTGTAATAATAATAATAATAATAATAATAATAATGATAATAATAATAATAATATAAAAAGCATTCCCCGCCTTCCGCCCTAGTGCAAAATGGTAGATGCACTCGTATAGCTCAAAGATACGTAATTTTGGACATGTCATCCTGCAATGCTGCACAGCAGCAACACTTAATCCCAAACTCCTTTGGTGGATCCGTGTGGTAGTTCAGTTCTGGAAGTCTGCGGCTTCTCAGATCTAAGTCCAAACAACACAGCACTCCTGCTCTCTCCCACTTGAGCCCGGCCCTAGGCCCTAGACGCGCTCTTTCTCGCACTCAGGCTCTCTCTCCACTCCCTCTGCGGGCTCCCCGGGGTCCTAGGAGGCGTGCTGCCGGTTGGAGAGCGCCCGGCTGCCGAGACGGCCTCCTGCTGCTTGCTCTTCTCCCGCAGGGTCTGGGTCGCGAGGACCTTCCGCTTTCGGGCCACCAGCAGCTCGGCCACCGCTGCCTCCTCGGCCCGCAGGCGGCTGGCGACCGTGAAGGGGCTGCACACAGTCTCCACCAGGCCGATCACCACGCCGAAGAAGGCCAGCACGCCGCCCAGCACGTACAGCTTCACCAGCTTCCGACTGGGCCTCCAGGCCATCAGCTCCTTGGCCAGCGAGATCAGCTCCTGCACCGTTTCCATCTCGGGGGCGGGGGTGACCTGCGGGAGGGGCGGCGCAGGAGAGGGGACCGTTCAGCCACGGAAGGATGGCTCCAGCCTGCCCGAGAGCCCCCTCGCTCGGCCGTCCCGCGGGCAGGGGGGCCCGCCCGGCGCGCTCTGCCACCCGCCGGGGCTCACCTCCGAGGCGCAGCGCGAGCAGGAGGCAGCTCGAGCCGGGGGCGGCGGCGGCGGCGACGGGCAGTGCGTTCTCCTCCTCCTCCTCCTCCTCCGGGGCAGTGCGTTCTTCTCCTCCTCCTCCTCCTCCTCCTCCTCCTCCTCCTCCGGGGCAGTGCGTTCTCCTCCTCCTCCTCCGGGGCAGCCGCGGCTCTTCCAGGTGGAGACTCCGCAGCCGGCACCTTGGACGTGCCCCGGGGCCGCTTATATCTTTCCTCCAAGACCCGCCTCCCGGGCTCCCTTGGCCCGGGGCCAGCGCCGCTAGCGCCAGAGGAACAAGGGGGGAGGAAGGAGGGGGGAGGCGGGCGAAGGAGAGGGCAGGGCGCGGAAGGACCTAGGTGGAGGCGGCCAGGAGCTGTGCACGCCTGGGCCTTGTGAGCTGGGAGTCCCAGGCAGGGGAGACCGCGGCGGGGGTGCGGGGGTGCGGGGTGCGGCCGGGACGCAGGAGGTCCCACGCCGGGTGTGCCCACCGGTGAGGACCCGGAGCCTTGGGAGGTATCGCGTACGTTTCCCACGGGACTCTTCCTTAGTGATGTGGGTGGGTGGCACAGCTTTCCTTGTCTGGGGTGGCCCGTGAGGGACCCCTGATGAGTTCATCGCGGGGAGGGGGGCGTTCTACCTAACCGGAAAATCTTTAGTTTTTATTCCTAAGGGTTGTCGTCTACCCACAGGTGTGGGGATCGGACGGGAGAAGACAAGGGGAGAGGGATCCTGGTAAGGAGCAGAACCAGGTCTCCAGACTCTGTATGTGCTTCTGTTTCTTTCCGGCCTGACTGGTTTTATTCACAGGTGCTTGCCCTGCCAGGGTCACTTGATCGATAACTACTTATTGAGGGTGCCCTTTTGCACAACTGTGTGTGTGATGCGTCTCTGCGCTTGCCCCTGTTTGTATATGTACTTCTGGGTATCATTAAATCCCAGTTATCCCCACTCCTACTTGAGAAGTGCAGCTGGGGGCTACAGGGCAGAGGAGATGGAAGCGGACCGTCGATAAATTTCTTCTGCTTGGTCTGGATTGCAAATACTTCATGCCGTCAGTAATTACTTACCACTTCCCTGGGTTTGGAGTTGCAACATCACTGTGCCATTTCAGCTCATAGAAACAGGGGCAGAAGGGTGAGAATAGAGGGTTTGGGTAAGAGCTAAACAGAGAACTCTTGGGGGGGGGGGGGGCGCTGGCCGGCTCAGTTGGAAGAGCATGTGACTCTTGATCTGTGGTCCTTAGTTCAAACCCCACCTTAGGTGCAGAGATTACTTAAGACTTAAAAAAAAAAAAAAAAGCACTCTTGGAAGCAAGGGAGGAGAGAAAGATATATTTTGGCTGGAATTAAACATCATCACCCTGGTGTGGAGGGTGTAATGATTTGGCTTTGGTTAATCCATTTACCAGAGTTAGCTAGCAAGAGGGGAAAAGCGGAGGCAAGTGGGCCAAAGGGCTGCCAGCAGTTAAGGAGGAGGAGGAGGAAATCAGACTGTCCAGAAAATTGTAAAGGTCAGTGATACAATCTTGCAACAGCCTCCTGTGGGGAGGGACAGGGAAAGGAGCTGTTTCATGAAGATCAAATGTTTGAGTCCTTTTCTGGGGGGGGGGGGGGGGGTGCGGTTAGGCAATTTCCCAGACAATTCAATTAAAAAAGACAACCATAACAACTACCCTTTGCCTTGGCTATTAGCATTTAAGGTAGTAAGATTTGTGTGTGAATGCGGATCGGCAAGGTTAGTTAAGCAGCAATGGTAAAATTCTGCCTTTTAGCCTGCTCCCAAGCAGTGAAGGTGACACGGGGCCAAATAAGGGTTATTCCTAGAGGATGGTGAACACTGCTTATTGTTCTTTTAATGTTAGACAGGAAATTTCTGCCACAAGGGACCAAGTTGAGATTAATATCAATCTTGGCATTTTCTTTCTTTCTTTTTTTTTAAGATTTTATTTATTTATTTATTTGACACAGAGAGAGAGAGAGAATAAGAAGGGGAGAGGCGCGGGCGCCTGGGTGGCTCAGTTGGTTAAGCGACTGCCTTTGGCTCAGGTCATGATCCTGGAGTCCCGGGATCGAGTCCCGCATCGGGCTCCCTGCTCAGCGAGGAGCCTGCTTCTGCCTCTCTCTCTGCCTGCCTCTCTGCCCACTTGTGCTTTCTCTGTGTGTCAAATAAATAAATAAAATCTTTAAAAAAAAAAAAAAGAAGGGGAGAGGCGCGGGGTACCTGGGTGGCTCAGTCGTTAGGCTTCTGCCTTTGGCTCAGGTCGTGAGCCCAGAGTCCTGGGATCGAGCCCCGTAATGGGCTCCCTGCTCAGCGGGGAGTCTGCTTCTCCCTCTCTCTCCCCCCCTACTTGTGTTCCCTCTCTTGCTGTGTCTCTCTCTCTGTCAAATAAATAAATACAATCTTTAAAAAATTAAAAAAAAAAAAAAAGAAGAGGAGAGGCACAGCGAGAGAGGGACAAGCAGACTCTCCGCTGAGCAGGGATCCTGAGGGGGGCTCGATTCCAGGACCCTGGGATCATGACCTGAGCCAAAGTCAGACACTTAACCGACTGAGCCACCCAGGTGCCCCAATCTTGGCATTTTCTTTGAATCTTCCTTAAAATTCTAGAGAAGTCTCTAATAACCTGGCAGAAATGATATGTGAGCCACCTCAAGATTTGTGAGTGTGCCAAACACTGGCTTCTGGAAGAGTGTATGATGTATACCTTACTATGGGGGCTTTCACCTGGTTCCTTCTCTGAAGGTGAGTCAGCCCAGCTTTGGTTGCAAAACTCCGAAGTTGACTCCATCGTAAGCATTTCTGGTATTTCTGTAACTCAAAGACGAAAACCACATGTCTTCCGTGGTCAGCGGGCTGCAGTTTATCTGGGGTTCCCCTTTTTTGTGATTTCCCCTCTTTCCGTCTTTGATAATCTGACTTTGGCCTCCTCCAGACCCCACCAGCTTCCTGGCTGGGGCTGGGCAGAAAGAGCAGCAGGTGGTATGGATTGGGTGTGCCAGTGCATCTGGTGTTTCTGGTTTAGGTGGGAGCTGGAGCTGAGTAGGAGATGGTGGGAATAGAAGGCTGAGGAATCCACGATCAACTTATGTTTAGGAATTTCTGGTAGCTCCTCTGTCTAGGTGGGGGAGGAGAACCCAACTTCTAGGGTAGAGGGTTAGGTAGGGCTTGGGAAACTAAGCATGTGATTCAACAGTGCTGATGTCACTTTAGAGATGGAAAGCCTTATGTTACATCATACAGGCCAGACCAGCTGTATGGTGATGAACCATTTCAGTGTGTCTAGGGCTGAGGGGTTTCCCTGAGTGCAGGACTTGCGGGGCTGAAACTGGGACAGCTCTGGGCTAATTGGGATAGTTGGTCAGCCTACCCTTGAGTCTATCCTAACATTTAATTGTGCCATTTCTGGGAAGGTAGGAAAGGCCAGTTTAAAATTTATTTTGCTTTCCAAATCCCTTTCTCCCAAACATTAAAATTAAAAAAAACACCCAGAGCCATCTGCAGAGGAAACCATCACAAAGGGGCAGCAGGTGGTCCTAGGGGTGAGTGCAGAAGAGAGATAGAGCTGTCCCCACAACTGTGCCTTAGGGATTAAAGGAACAGGGGACAGAGGCCTTTTGGATGAATGGTTGTATATGAGCCTCAATTATTAGTAGTAGTATTTTGTTACCAGCTCCTTGCCACCTACCAAAGTCACTGCCCACCCCTGGTATAATAGGAGGCTGAAGGGACAGGATCATCCATCATAGGAGATAGGATAAAATCATCTGTAAATCTTAAACTCCATTTTTTTTCTAGTCCTTGGGTTACTTTCATTTCATGTACACTAGTTTTGGAGAGGTTTCTTTCTTTTCTTTTCTTTTTTTTTAAGATTTTATTTATTTATTTGACAGAGAAAGACACAGCGAGAGAGGGAACACAAACGGGGAGTGGGAGAGGGAGAAGCAGACTCCCTGCCGAGCAGGGAGCCCGATGCGGGACTAGATCCCGGGACTCCAGGATCATGACCTGAGCCGAAGGCAGTCGCTTAACCAACTGAGCCACCCAAGCGCCCTTGGAAAGGTTTCTTATCTCTCGAATATCAGTGGATGATTTTTATTTATTTTTATTTTTAAAGATTTTATTTATTTATTTGACAGAGAGAGACACAGCGAGAGGGGGAACACAAGCAGGGGGAGTGGGAGAGGGAGAAGCAGGCTTCCCGCGGAGCGGGGAGCCCAACTCGGGGCTCGATCCCAGGACCCTGGGACCATGACCTGATCCGAAGGCAGATGCTTAGCCAACTGGGTCACCCAGGTGTCCCAGTGGATGATATTTAAATCTACGTGTCTAATCTTTGTCTTCCTCTGGTTTTGTAGACTAGAGTTCTAGAGTCTAGACATTTCTGTGTGGATCTTCTGCTTTTATGACAAGCTTAACACACTTTAAGACTCCCCATATTCTCTGTACTCTGACAAACTAAGTCACCTTCTCAGTATCCTTATGGTTAGCAGAGGCATCTCAATTTTACCTATTCTCTGGAGAAACACTGTGGCATTTTCTTAGAGAGGCTTTTCCTGACCATTCTATCTTACCATTCCCTACCCAATGCCCTGCTTTATTTTTCTTCATAGCACTAGCACCTGACTTTATATTGATGTAACTGTTGCTTTGCTTTTGTGTTATCTTCCATGCTCATTGGAGGTGGATAAGCTTCATGAGGGCTGGGACTGTATTTTGCTTTTCACTGTGTCCTCAGAGCCTCCTATGATCCTTGGCATATGGTAGGTCCTTAATAGGTAACTATGGGATTAATGAATGTCTTCCCCATTGGACTGGCAGGGGAGGAATTATGTTTATTAAGTTTGCATGCAGTTAGATGTTTAGTGGATGCTCAAAGAAGCATTCAGATTTTTTTTTCTTTCTCTCTCTCTTTTTTTTTTAAGTAGGCTCTGTGTCTAGCATGGGACTTGAATGCACAACCCCGAGATCAAGAGTTGCATGCTGTACCAACTGAGCCAGCCAGAAGTCCCATTTTTTTTTGGTTTTTGACAGTTTTCTTTTCTCTTTTGTTGTTGTTCTTTTTTTTTTTTTTTTAAAGATTTTTATTTATTTATTTGACCAGAGAGATATAGCAAGAGAGGGAACACAAGCAGGGGGTGTGGGAGAGGGAGAAGCAGGCTGCCCGCCAAGCAGGGAGCCCGATGTGGGGCTCGATCCCAGGACCCTGGGATCATGACCTGAGCCGAAGGTAGACGCTTAATGACCGAGCCACCCAGGCGCCCCCCCCCTTTTTTTTTGCCTTTAGTCCTTTCCTCTGTAATTTATCTCAAACACTACCACCAAATAAATCTTCCTAAAATTAAATTTTTATTCTTAATTGCCTGCTTAAAACCTGGATCATTTCTTTCTTTCTTTTTTTTTTTTTTTTTAAGATTTTATTTATTTATTTGAGAAAGAAAGAGTGAGAGAGAGAGCCCAAGAGGGGTAGGGTCAGAGGGAGAAGCAGACTCCCTCTGCTGAGCAGGGAGCCTGACGTGGGACTCGACCTGAGCCAAAGGCAGTCGCTTAACCAACTGAGCCACCCAGGCACCCCTGGATCGTTTCTTATTGCCTACAAGGACTCCTGGATTCTGCATATTGGATTTATTTGATTGACGTTCTTGGAATCTGAGACTTCTATGATCTGCTCCTCTGCTCTTCCCTCCTCATCTAACTTTATATTCCATTCTTCTCCAACAAGAACCCTTTGCTCCACAGATGGGTTTCTCATGGCCCGAGAAACAGTGCATTCTCATTGTGGCTGCCTCATCTTGGCTCGTAATCTTCTTCCTACCTGAAATGCTGTTCTCTTTCTACTCTGTCTTCCTTTCTTCAGTTCACGTGCTCCAAGAAGCCAGCAGCACACCCTGATCTCTCCTTTCTGTGAATTTCAGCCGCCCTTGTGGCTCACTGTGCACCAGCTGGCGCTGCCTTATGTACTGCTTTATACAGCTCTCTCATTGTTCCCTGTGGGCTTGCCCGGTCTCTGTGGAAGACCAGATCTTTGTACCTTTCATGGTGCTAACGCATAGTAGGGGCTTAATCAATACTAGTTACATTGACCTGAAAGTCAGTATTGAGATTAGAGATTGCAAAATGATCAGACTCTCTTGGGAGGTTATTTTAGGCACAGTGGCTTGTCCTTGGCACAGAGCCTTGGGGGTAAGATTGCCTAAGACCTGGCAGCTTGGCTTCGTTCCTTCCACTCTGGCTTCCTCACCTTTCACTTGTACTCCCAGCTTAGCGTCTGACATTGCAGTGATTGGCTTACTCTAGGGCACTCCTCCAGCCTGCTCCTGGGACCCAGGGCCTTGACAAATCCACACTGGTGAACAGACGCCTCGTAGACAGTTCGCTCATGACTTCTGGCCAAGCAGAACTGCTATCTGCTGGACCATGCAGGATGTGCTGGGAGCAACACCCTACTGCCCACATGCCACTTCTGAATTGTCCTAATCTACTCTGTACGTTTGAATCAGCATGGAATTTTCC